GTTACCATGGTAACTCGCAGCCAGGGCCATTTCCTCGGAAGGAGGGAGGGAAGGAGCGGGGGAGGCAGGAAGCGCTGGCCTCCAAGTGCTCCCACCCCTCTCCCTTCCACTCCTCTCCTTTCCCTGTCTGGGTCGGCTGACCCTTGCCTCCGCAAGAAAATGCTTCTCTGACCCTTGATCTCGAGTCCAGCCTGGAGGGAGCAGCTTGCCGGGCTGGAGTAGAGGCATCAAGGCCTGATGGGTGGGGGCTGAAGTTTCGAGCCCAGGGGCCTGGCCTTAACCGACCAGGCCAGGTTGGGTCATAATGGTTGGGATTTGAGGATAGGTGCCCTAGTCAATGAGCCGCTGGGGTGTGCGACGGCGCTTCCATGGAGACGGTTCCTTGGATACCGTTCCTTGGATACGGTTCCCCTCGTTCCCCATTGGCTGGCTGGCTTGGAACGTACCTGGCCCGTGCTGTGCTACCCGTGCCCCGCGTGCGCGCCCCACCCCCACCGAGGGGGGAGGGCTGGGTAAAGAGGTGGAAACGCACTTCCCCACTTCCCCCTTCCCCCATGTGGCAAACCCCCAGCCGTCGGGCTCGGTCCCAACTCCTCAGCACGGGCTGAGCTGAAGCTCACACACAAAGGACCTGGCAGGAGTGGGCGGCCCCTTACCCAGGGATCCCAAAACCCCCTTCCTTCTGCCATAGCCCAGAGGGATGGAATAGATGTGTCTTTCCTCTTCCCACTCCATAGTCCTCTTCCAGTCCCAAGACCCCCTTTTCAAATCAGCCTTTCTCCCAGACCGTCAACTGGGCCCTACTCCCTCCTAGACTCACCCTTCCTTCCAAGCCCCCTCCTCAGCTGCATCCTTCCCCGACTCCCAGTAGAGAATAGTACTCCCATTCTGCCTTCTGCCCTCCTCTTCCCCCCACCTTCCTCTCTATTAGTTATCCCTAACCTGGAGCCTTCTATCTATGCTCAGATTGAAGACTCATCCCTTAGGCATACCCTGCCTTCCTCCCAAAAGCGGCCTCTTCCGTTTCTGCCGCGAGCCTTACTTAGGGAGAGCTGTAGAACTAAACTAAAATCCCAGTCTCTTCCCTATCTACCCACCCTCTACACTGGGGCAAAAGGGAGCCTGTCTGGTCCAGTTGTCCACTTCTGCTTTCCAGGTGGAGAATTCCTCTCCTCTCCATCTTCTACCCTAGAAACTTTCTCAGCAAACCTGACCCCCACCCCAACCTTTCCAACCCGTCCTCGATGTTACAGCCTCACTGGTTTATTATCTGCCTTGGTCTGTTTGACACAGTTCTCATCTCTCCAATCTTTTCAGATCCTGGACTGGACAGTTAGGAGTTTGGGGCTTTAGTTTTGAGTCTGCCATTCACTCTGTGTATGATCTTGGACAAGTCCTTTCCTTCCTCTCTGGACCTCAATTTCTTTCTGCATAAGATCAGAGTGTTGGCTTCCGTGATTAATATTCTGTGATTTCATTTTGCAGATGAAGAAGCTGAGGCAGGAGAGATACTAAGGATCCCTCCCTAGTCTACCATGAGGGAGTAGTGAAAAAGCAAGCTTCTGGGATTTCCACGGTCCAGCCCCCACCCCCACTCCCACCCCCACCCCTGGCTTTTACTCAGACTGATAATGAGTCACCACATTTTCCTCTTCAGGCCAGTTCCCCTGGCCTCAAGGCTTAGCTAGTACCTTTCAACTAAAGCAGCCACTCAGCCTCCAGATTCACCCAACCTTAATATCCTCACACCCCTAGGAGCTAGCCATAGGCAAGTGAGAGACTTAGGACATGGAAAAGTTACTAGGAAACAAAAGCCAACTCTTTCCCATACTTAGAAGAGCCTAGGGAAGCCAGAGGTGCTATCACACCAATCTAGCAGCCCACCACCTTGACTTTTCACTGAGAGAGGCTGGTTACTTCACTAATCAAATGGGAATAATCCCTGCACCACCTACCTCACAGGGAAAGCACTTTTAAGCCACTATAGAGATGTGAGTTAATATTACTAATTTCTCTGAGCCTCATTTTCCTCATCTGTAAAATGGAGATAATACCTACACAATCTACTCCTGGGTATTGAACAAGCTCTTTATAAACCTTAACGTGTTGTCTTTAGTATGATATAGTGGAAAGAGGCCTTGGAGTTTTAATCCTTGTTCTGCTTTTTACTCCCAGTGTGACCTTGACCGAGTCATTTGCCCGGGGTGAGGGGAGGAGACTTATCTGTAAAATAATTCAATTAGATAATCTCTAAAGTCTCTTCCAGTTCTAAATCTCTGATCCTATCAAAATTGTTATTCCCCAGGTGGCCTGGATCTGTGAGCCCCCAGGGCTGCTGAGAGGATGGAGGCAAAAAGAGTGGAGGAGAAAGTTCCATTAGAGCTAGATGAGGAGCTTGGAGAGACCAGTGATTGATAAACCTAACCCTTCCCTCCCTTCTGTCCTTCACAAAGCCCATTTCCTGTGACATCAGGATCCCGAGGGCTTCTTCCCTCCTGGATAGGCCTACCCCACCCCCAGACCCTCAAGAAAGCAATTGTGTGGGGCTGGGGAGCTCCTGGCAGCTACCAGATCAGCTGCAGCTGTTGTGTCTCTTTGAAAGCCCACCTGTGGCCCAGGCCGGAGGAAGGGGGCCCCAGACAGCTGCTGCTCCCTTCCAGCCCCAGCCGGGCCCCTTTGAAAGCCATGCTAGCCACCCACTCCTTAGTCCTCCATCCTGCAAACAGAATCTTAGAACTGGCAAAGGTCCTCTCCACCCGCCTCCACCTTCTTACTTTCCAGAGGAGAAAATTAAGACCCACAGTGGGGAACTGACTTGTAAAAGGACACATAGTGAGGCAGCAGCAGGGACAGAATTCCCAGTGCTCTGCCAGGGGGCAGAATTGGGTTGGTATTTAAATTCCAGGCTCCTGAAATATTTTACAAAAGGACTTTCCTTCACAGTGCCTTCAGAAAACCCATTGGGGTCCCTTAGGGCACTGAATTGGAGTCAGAGGCTCTGAGTTCAAATCCTAACTCCGCCAATTACTATCTGGGTGACTTTGGGCAAATCATTTAACCTCTCTGAACCTCAGTTTCCTCATCTGTAAAATAAGAGGATTGGGCTGGATGGCTTCTAAATTCCCTTCCAACTTGAAGTCCATGATCCTACAATTTCACCAGAGGGGCTGTTAGAGGGGTAGTTACACCTAACCTGACGATCGGCACCAAACCCTGACCCAACTGAGTCATCTGGGAACTTCATGTGCCCTTTTGGTCCACTTTGTTCCTTAGCTCCCATTCCAGGCTGCCCAGGCAGCGACAGGGTAGAAAGCAGGGCATCTCCAGATCTCTGGCCTGCTCTAGGATCAGCTCCGCTGGTCTCAGAGAAAGCCAAGCCCTCAAAACCAGTTCTTTCACTGCCCTGGCCTCTTTGAAGTAACCCAGGGCCATGTTAGCCTCCCCAAGACTGAAAGCTTTCTGCCTGGAATGGGTCCCCTGGACTGGGATTGGGGTTTGGTGCTACCTTCCCTCAAATCAGCCCTGGGGAAAATGATATAAGGAAGTGCCAGCCAGCCTCTGCAGCTTCCCTCATCTTTGCATTCTGTACTCCTGGGAGAGACAGAGTCAAGGGCTCCATGCCATGCCCTCTTCACCTCACCCTCTACTCAAAACTGAAGCTGGAGTGAGAAGTAAGGACTCCAGGACTGCCCAGTACACTATCCACAGGTCTGCCCAAGACCAGACTGTCCCTCCTTAAAACCCCTCCCAAGGACTCTGGCTCCCCTCCCCAACTCACTCACAGCCTGAGAAACAAGCTTCCAGGTTTCATAGGCTCTGAAAAGAACCCACCTAAGGAAACTCAGGTCCAGAGAGGGGAAATTACTTTTCCAAAGTCACCCAGAGCTGGCCTTTGAACCCAGGTCTTCTGATTCCTATTACAGGTCTCTCTCCACTATATCTCCCTCAGTCTTACCACCCTGAAGTCAAGTGAATCTCCCCTTAACCCTCTTCCTAATCCAGATGGGTTGTGACGCTTGATCTGGCTGCATGGACTGGGCTCTCTGTAGGCTGCCCATGGAGGTGGAAGGCCCAGTGCCTGGGAAGCCAGTGCCTCTAATGATCAAGGGCCTGTGGGAGGGGCTTGGGCTATGACTACACCCCAAAACACTGAGTTCCAAGGATGCTTTGTGGTGGCCTAAGTGCCAAGACTCTGGGTGTGGGGCTGCCTATCACTAAAGGGAGCCCGAGTGGGAAAGCTAGTTGTAGCAGGGTATCTTACTCTGTGTGTGAAGCAGGGCAGTGAATGAAGTGTTTCTCCTGGAGTGGAAGGGCAGTCAATCAATAAGCATTTATTACATGCCTACTATGTGGAGCATTTTCTCCAAAGGATAAGTGAAGGCAGGGATGGGCCCAGGGGTCAAGGAGAATAAAGGGAAACAGGCCAGCATCTGCAGTACAAAGGTCTCAAATCATGGCCAGGAGAGCCCCTGCTTAAATCCCTCATCTTCCTTCCAGTCATGGACTCATCCCATGTTCAGGCACAAGCAGGTTGGAGATGTGGGAGGGGAGCAGGAGGGGATGGGGGGCAGATCAAAAACTACTTTTAAAATTGCATTAGCAAGGTTCTAATCCTGGTTCTCCCATTGAGATCTATGAGACCTTCATTCGGCCAGTTATTTCTCCTCTCCCAGCCTCAGTTTCCATATCTGTCAATAAGATTTGACTAAGTGATCATTAAGCTCTCTTTCAACTCTGCATCCTGAGATATGTTCCATCCCCCTGTGTGCGTACTGCTTATTTAAGACCCTAAATAGCCCAACATATAGTGGTTCTGGGCAGACTCCAGTGAGAGTTCCAGCCTTGTCATCCTGACTTGGCCTGGCTCCCCCTACCAGCCTCTGCTATTGTCAGCTCAGCTCTGCTGAGAGTTATCCCTATTCCCTATCCAAGGGAGGCTGGGGCAAGACAGGTGACTGACCCACTCCCCGCAGCTTGTCCAGCTTGTGCCCTCTTTATCATCAATAGCCCCAGCCCCTGCACTTGGGTCAGGGCAAGGAGAAGCTGTCTCCTACCAACTGGTCCCTGGGCAGCTAATTTTAGTAACTCCAATTTCCCTCCGGCCCTGGCCTCAGGCCAGTGGTGCAATGCTGGTGTGGCAGGAACCAGTATGTGCATGATGCCCCCTCCCTCCAAATCCCCCAAGCCTAAACTTCCCATCAGCCTCAACCTATCCAGAGCCAGACCCCATCTCAAGCCCTGAATCCTCCCCCAGTCTCACTGTCAGAAGGTGAAGACTAGGTCTTATCTTTTAGAGAAAGAATACTTTGTCTTTGGAGGGGAGGTGGGAGTGGGACAGGAATTCCCCCCAGGTAGTGGAAAGGGACCAAATTTGGGGGGGGAGGGGAAGGGGTAATACCATAGGAAGGACTCATGGGAGGAAGGTATGTTAGGTAATAGCTATATACATAAGACTTGGGTCAGAACTGCCCCCACCCCCCTGGGAGCTTCAGGGCACTGAAAAAAAGGCTACTCCCACTCAGTGATACCCAGATTTGTGCCCACCCCACCCACAACCCAGAAAACCAAGGGAAGAAGAATGATTCGAAGCCTTAGAGTCTCTCCTCAGCTAGAGGGTCCAGGGCAGGGACAGAGCCTTCAGACCACAGCAGGTGGCAGCAGCCTCTCCCTGGGGCTGTACAGCTGGGGCTGGAACTCCAGCTGCTGGAGCCATTTTGAGGGGCCCGCCCAGCCCCTCAAGGCCTCTTGCCCCACCCCTCTCCACAAATTCCCCCTGATTTGTAACCACCTCCCCCAGAACCAGCCAGCTGGTTCACTGCCCCTCCCCTACACACAGAGTTAACTCATTGGGGTCCCTTCCAGACTCAGCGCTACCTCATTGCCCCCATATACTCATTGCTAGCCCCCTGAGCTAACCATCCAGACTCAAAGCTAACTCACTGCCCACCCAGAAACAGGGTTAGTTCATGGGGGTCACCCTAGGGTCAAGGTTAGCTTTTCCTCCATCTATGACTCAGAGTTAACGCTGATCTCTCTCACACACACACCCCTGAATCAATTCCTTCTCTGAACTCAGAGCTAGCTTGGTCCCCTTATGGGTCTCAGATTTAATTTACTGCCCCTACTCTAAGAATCAGCATTAGGGTTCATCCTCCAAACTCAGTACTAGCTCAGTAGGGTTCATCCTCCAGATTCAGAGCTAACTTGATTTCCTCAGACTCAAGACTAACTCAAAGATTTTAATGGGACCCCTCAAGACCCAAGCTCCCAGTAGTTACAGCTATTGTGCCTTTCTCTCTTGCCCAGGACAAAGGGCACACATATGGGGCTGGGATTTAGATACTCTGTCCTACTACCTCTTATTTCCAGATCCAGGGACCTGGACCTGGACTCCCAGAGGGGAACTGAGCCCACGGTATAGAGCCTGGTGGGGAATTCTGTCCCTAGGGGCCCCACCCCCTCCCAATCTCACGAATTGCATTGGCTAGAGGCTGGTTTGTCCTCTATCCAATTCAGCAAACATGTATTAAATACTATGTACAAAACACAGTAACATATCTAGGCTTACTGTGGGGCTGCTGCCTGTACCCAGGGTTCTTCTATAACCCATCCCACAGTTCTGTTTTTCTAGTTTCTTCACACTCATCCTCTGAGCTCCCTGGTTATCACCATATTAACCCCAGCATCAGGACAGAGAACTGGTCCCCTTTTAGGAAGAATAGGAAATTGAGCCATCCCACCCCCAAGACCCAGGGCAAGCTTATTGGGGTTCACTCCTCCAGCTTCAGAGACCCAAGCCCTCTTTGCCCCTCCCCTTCATCCCTAGATCCGGTGGCACACGGCCTCCTAAGATCCACAGGAATTGGGGAAAGGTAAAGGAGGGTCTGAGGAGAGAGAGAGAAAGCCATGGGAGCATAGGAGAATGAGATGAAATAAAGCAGAGAAGGTGGGGAGGGGCTCACGTTCTGGGCGTTGAAATGGAATCTCTTGGCTGGGATGGGGATGGGGGTGATGGGGTGGTATCAGTGAATATCCTTCAAGGATTCTCTCCCAGCTCTTAGATCCCTAGGGACATTCCTGGGGCTAGATCCATGCCTCTAATATTGCTGCCTAGGTTGGACTCCCCCGACCCAATTCCCCAAGTAAAAAAAGGGCCAGAGTGCGTGGAGAGGCACCCTCCCGGGGGGGGGGGGGGGGGGGGGGGGGGG